TCTAAAATCTTAAGCCAAAACAAGAGATTAAAAGGTTAGTTTCTCACCCTTGAAGAACACAACTCCAACAGCTTTTCTGAGTTCAAACCAACCCAAAAACACTAACACCAACTCCTAAGTACCTCAGCAACCAAAGGATGGTGTTCTTGTAGGTGTTTGTGTGCAATAGTATGAAGATTTTACACTTTTGAGCTCAAACAATAGCAAATGAAGAGAGAGAGGAAAAAATAGAGAGAGTGTGATATATGTCTTCTATATCAACTTTTCAGAACCTCTAGAAAGGGAGAGGGGCCTCCCTTCTTATAGAAAATCAATTCTCAAGCTTGTTGAACAAGCTTGAGTCTTGATTCAATGTGTATGGAGGATGAGAATTGTGCTCACCACTTGTCACAGCTGGCACAAAAATATCTGCAAAAGCAGATAGAAAGGTCTCGGCCAGAAAATATGGCCGATCGACCAAAAATAGTGACGATCGGCCACCACTTATGGCCGATGGCAACAAAAGAAGGCCGATGGCACAATGCCTTAGCCAATGGGTTGTAGGGATGGCCAACAAGCCACCCTCTTCCCTCAGAAGCAAAAACCACAAGTCCTTAGTCTACAACCAAGCACAAAACAAACAAGTTAAGAGATCCTAAGGCAAGGCGCGCAGCCGAGACCTTCGGGAACTCAAAACGAACACGAGCATAGATGACCATTGAGTGTTCAAACGATGATGTCCAAGTCTTGAAGATGGTAAAAAATGGGGTGTCTACACCGCGATGCAGTAATATGTCATTTTTCTTTTTTTATGCATAGCCTGTTCATTACTCGTGGTTGGCGGGGGAAAAAAATGAAAAAGGTTCTTTAAGTAGTAACAACGATGCCCAATGCAGATTCCTTATCAATAGATACGCAAGTATGTTGTCCCATCGTGATGTTTAATTGAAATTTTGTGTGTTTATAAACACCCTCATCATTACGTCAGTGCAAATAAAGGGTTATGATTGCCTCACCAATACTTACAAACCAAACCAAACTAAGTCTAATGTCCTAATCAAGTGGGGTTGGCTATATGAATCATTTTTTGTTATTTTGTTCTATCAAGGGCTATATGCTCAGCTAAATAAAATAAAATAATTTTTTTTTAACTACCGCATACTTTGTCTATTTAGGTCCACCCTCCCCCTACCATTTCCATTTATGGTGGTCATATGAATCTTCTTTATTATTACCATCTATAGGTCTGCATTGTACAAGATCAAACTATCTTACCTTATTTTCTCTCAACTTATCTTCAATTTGTGTTACTCCTACCATTTTAGAAGTACATATTTATTTCTAGATTTTATGAGAAGTCTTTGTTGGCATTGCCGAATGGCATCTCTTAGGAGTTTTGGCTCAACATGAGATCATATAGCACTTACCAATGAGGTCCTATCAATTACGAACCCCAATGCTACACTTTTTAGTTATTGGTAAGTACTCTTTGAAATTGTAGCTTTAAGGCCAAAGAGGAAAGCTTCTTCTAATTTGAAGCTTTCATTGTAGCAGCAAAGAAAAAGGCAATTTATGCTGCTTAAAATAAGAGAAGGAGGTTTCACACCTACAGGGCTCTATAGGCATCACTAATCTGGCAGTTATAATTTGTCAGTTTCCAAGCTCATTATAAAAGATGTGTAAATTCACTATAAATAAGTAATTGAAGTAAGACTACCAATAAACCAGGCAGGAGACATACAATCTATCTTTCATGATCTTACCACACATCCACCTAAACATTTTTCATTTTAACTACACTCACTTTATGAATGTATTATTTTTTATTTCCCAACATTTGATCTTTCAATTTTTTTGGTGTTCATCGATCACTATGATAGACACACTCTGCCACTTGAGCCAACTTACTTTTATTCTATTTATCACATCATCTCTAACCTCACCATCCTTATTAGTAATTGAACCTAGGTTTTCAATAATTGTTGAAAAATAATTTCAAAATTGTTGGAACAACTATGCAAATAGCGAAATAACAGTTGTGGCATAGGGTAGGGATAGGTTCTCATTTGATCCTTCCTAAACTTGCAACTCCATCTACCAAACCCATCTAATTAGGGATGTGGGTGGTTTTTCCATGAAAGTGATTCTTCTTGTGATTGTCCATTCCCTGGAAATTGAATTTGTGGTGCATCTTGCTGGCAGGGCATTGAAATGTTCTGCTGTCATAAGTTTAAAACAAATGCATTTGAAGGAGTTCCCAGCAATAGGAGTGTTGCTGAAGGAGTTCCCAGTTGGATAGAGTGATGCATGATAGTGATGGCATCTTATAATTTCCAATAGAGGGGTTAGTACATTTTATTTAATCCATGTGACACCCTCAGACATGGACACTTTAATTTTTTGGCATGTAAAATAGATGCAAATAAAAGCCTAGAACTAAGCACCTAGAAAGCAAGTTGCACAACTATTTTTTCAAAGAATATCGTGTTTGCTGATGTTCTGCACTCTGGATTGCTTATGGTGCCAATCCTGAAGAAATTGTGAAGTGAGGCTATTATGCATGATCTTCCAAATCCCATGGAAATTCAGCTTATTGTTATCCAAAAAAAAAAGCTTCATCCTTCAAGTCCCATGGAAATTCAGCTTCAGGATAGTAAGAAATGGGTATGGATATGCTATATTTATGCAATGTATGGTTTACTAAATACACAAAAAAAAAAAAAAAAAAAAAACAACCTTGGAAGAAATTAACAAAATAATTGTGTCAAGTCTTACACCAGTGGTACTCCTCATCAGCAAAGGGTTTTGCATTGCATGTTTCTCTAACTGATGCCATTAGCCATGTGCCTACTAGTTGATCACTTGATATTTAGTCATTTATGTTTCACTATTGTAAACTGTCGTTCATTTATTTTCCTGTTTCTGTCTGCTTTTCTTTAATACGCTACATCTTTGTAGTTGGATGATTTTTGCATCGCAATTGTGAAAAAAATTAAAGACGCCTTTGGTTGGCCTGGGAATATAATGACAGAAAAGAGTGTTGGTGCCTCGATTGGTGAACTTCCAACAGTCTTAAGAAAGCTTGGTGAGGCTGATTCGAGCCTTGGAGAGATTCTATCTAGCTCTGTTTCATTAACGGAAAATGATGAAGAATTGGAGACATCCACTCAGGATATTGCAAGTTGTCAAGTATCTTTTTAAACATTTTCCCTCTTTTTTGGCAGCCAAACCTAGTTAAATATGATAGAAAACAAAGAAGAACAATGAGAGAAAATCTTTATGAAAGCAAGGTACTCCCTGATGTGTGTTTGCTGGTGTCATTCAGCTATCTGCATGCTATGTTATGCTGAGTATTCCGTGCCATGCATTTTGAGCTTTCTGTCATATTTCTATATATACACCCCTTGGGCACAAGCATGAAAGATTGCATATAAATCTATACAATCATTTACACATCTAGTTTGGAACTATTATACCTCTGTGTAAGTGGCAATCAAAAATTGAAATGTTGGAACTTGATTATTTTGTATTTTTGCTTAAACACACTTCTTGCATTGGAAAAGAAGAAATCTTTAATTGTTATTCTAGTTCATGCTTCTAAAGGTAATTCTATGCCACTTCTTGGTAATTTTAGCTCAACAGTTTGTTTTGGTCAAAGTTATCACTCCAACCGTTGAACTCTCTCTATCCATTGTTGTGGTTATCTGTCATTAAAAGACCTGCACAACACCATCTTGGGGTCAGCTTCTCAACAACAGCAACAATTGAGATGCATGGAGGAACATGCCCCTGTTTTGCTCCTTTTTTTTTCTTTTTTTTTTTAATATCAGCAAAAGAAAGAATGCCTTTATTAATGAAACCAAACATACATGTACATACGAAGAACATCAATAAAGAAGAGGATATTGCAAACAACATCACTATATGACTTCACAATCCCATAACAAGCCTCAATAGTTAGTGAGAAACCAGGAGAGAAAAGAAAACAAACAACCAGCAATCCAAAGCAACACAAACCAATTAACTAATATTAGAAAAACACACCATCAGCTGCAATTGGAACATTAACAAAAATTCTTAGATCTAAGGTGCTATAATTAAGTGGTCTAATGTTAGGCGACGTCTGAGTAATGCTATAAACATAATTTTGTGCAAAAAAATCATACAAATTTACATGGTTATTTGTGATCCGAACATTTTTAGTCATGGTAACATTTGTAATCCTTTCGTTTTAATGTTCATTTTAAGCTCTGTTGCTGGTGTTGTTACTTGAGTGTGTATCTTTCTGTCAGTTTGAGCTCTGTTGTTGGTCCAATGTAGGAAGAGGATGGCTGCAAGTCTTGTGGGTAGATATGTTGGACTAAGTAGTCAAAGTCAATTTACTTTCTTCATAGGCTTTGCATTGCACCAACATTTTTTTGCCAATAAAGCATTTGGCATCCCCTATTAATAGTCAGCATTACAACCTTTGTTTGTGAATCTAGGAGCAAAGATGGTCTCTAACCAACTATAGCTTTCTCACAATCAGCTCTTTCACCTCTTCTTTTTTCTTTACTTGTTTAGGTAGTATTACTATATAGATATAGATTGTTATCTGTGAATAATTTTAAATTTGAATAGGCTAATGAATTGGCATATTAAGGAGTGGTCTCTTTGTCTTTCTATTATACAATCAAATGGCTAACACTGCTAAAGGTATATTGAAGGTAGAAGGGGATTTTGCTAGTCTTGATATGGCCCCCTTGTGGAGATGAGAATGATGATGTGCATAGATTGAAGCGAGTTTTGTACTCGACTCTGGTGAGTGTGTTGTTTGCGATTTATTTTTTTCTTGCTCTCTACTCTGCTAGACTAAAAAAAAAACCAAGTTATTTATTTATTTTTTTTTACAAATGAAAGAGTTGGAAAAACCAAAGAGATTTTTTTCAAATGATTAGTTTATTATGTGCTCCCTAATGATTGAGTAGTTTCCTTGAAGCACAAAGAACAAAAGCAAGAGAGAAAGAAAATAGAGGAAGAAGATGAAGTCTACAAATGACAACAACAATGGTAGCAATAGTCATAATAACAACTGGTTGGGTTTCTCTCTCTCACCCCACATGAAAATGGAGGTTTCTTCAAACCCTCATCATCAGTACAATCATCATCATCATCAACCTCAGCAAGTTAGCAAGTTCTTCCTTCCGGCTTCTATCTCTCTCGTTCTTCACACCTCAACAGCTCTGCAATCTGTTATGGGGTTTGAGAAAATGGTGGCTTTCACTCACCCTTGTTTGTAATGTCTCTCAAGTCAGATGGATCTCTCTGTATCATGGAAGCTCTCAGTAGATCACAACCACCACCACCACCACCACAAGGTTTGTTTTCTTTTCTCTTCTCTTTCCTTTTTTCTTTTCATCTTTGTGTTCTATGTTTTGAAATCTTTTTGGGTTTTAAAAGGGATGGTGCAAAACTCTTCCCCTAAACTTGAGGACTTTCTTGGTGGTGCAACAATGGAAGCCCACCACCAATATAGTACCCATGAGAGAGAAGCATTGGCTCTAAGCTTAAACAGCATGTACTACCACCACCAAATTGCTGATCAACAAACCAACAGACAAAAACAACAATAACAACATCAAGAGATGGATGAAGTTCAACAACACCACCGTTATTACTATGGACTCTCATGCAATGATGGGTTGTACCAACAGACACCATTGGAGGAGCAGGGAGAAGAAGAAACAAGGGAGACCCAACTTGCAGACTGTGATAATACCGAAATCACTGCTTGCCAGAAAAATTGGATTGTGGTGGAGGATAGTGGTGGCGTGTGTGGGTTAGGTGGTGGTGCAGTGGGTGGTTGTGGGGATTTACACTCTCTGAGCTTGTCAATGAGCCCTGGTTCTCAGTTAGGCTGTGTCACAGCTCCAACCCAGATCTCACATACTGGAACTGAGTCCACAGTCATGGAAACCGAGAAGAGAGGGTCTGCAAAAGTTGCTCTAAAGCAACCTATTCATAGGAAGTCCATTGACACATTTGGGCAGAGCACCTCTTAGTATAGAGGTGTTACAAGGTCTGTTCGTGCCTATTTTTGTGATTTATTTCCATTTCCTACTAGTTACGTTTTTGTGTTCTCCAATACCTAGGCCTTTTAGTTCTTGATTTTCTTGAAATTTCTATTTTTTAATGCTTTCATGTTTGTTTTCTTCTTAATGTGCAAGTAACCCTTCTGTTAACAACCTTTTATACTGGAACATAAACTAATAATGAAACTAAAACTAAGCATAAATGTGAGACCCACTTCACATTACATAAGAGACTTGTGTATGATTTTGCAATCAATTTCTATATATATATATTGTTATAATAATTATGTATGTTTCCGCCAGACATAATTTTTGCAATTGTTGCTCCTTCTATTGATCACTTATGCATCCATAGATCACTTCCTAAATAAGATAGCATGTTTTGGCCAGTACTTGCACTTGCATATCTATTAACTCACACACACAAACACACACACACACACACACACACACTCGCACACACTCGCACAAATATGCCAATCAATGATGGTGGCCCTTGTTTTAAAGTTGTCATTGATCAATAGAGACTGCTACCAGATCCTCCTTTTTGTTGGTGGCTGATGGCTGTTGTTTGCTAGTCTACTACAACTACTGGTCTGTTACTGCTGCTGGTTTTCTGCCATTGTTGTCGCTGCCCCAGTGGCTGATGCTTACTGGGTTGCTGCTGCTGCAATGTTGTTGTGAGACAGATACTTGTAGATGCTAGTCTACTACATGAGTTTGTGGGTGATTGTCGTGCCATTTTGCCTGTCTTTGTTAGTTTCATGTTTTCATTTTGTTATCTATTGTTTCTACTGTGGGTTCACAATTTGGATATATTTGGGTATTTTTCTGAGTTTATCCTTTTAGGTTTTATACATTGCTTCTAAAAGTAGTAATAGCAGTGTTTTTTTGCCTACACATCAACTTTAGGTGATTTCATATCAATGTTATTAGTTTGTAATAGTGGTACCTGAGGGATGCCTCTTGTAAATCTGTAAATCTTATAAAAATATATAAATTATTTTCAATTATTTTTGTTGGTAAATGTGTTTCCAAAAGTTTATTTTTGCCCACTCATATTGGGTTGCTAGAAGCTTATTTTTTGCCAATGCCAATTTGTCGTTGCCAAAAGTAAAGCTTTATCAACAAACAAATCGTCGGCAAATGGAAAAATTTACTGACGTAAATGTGTTGCAAAAATTTTACTTTTGCTTACTCATATTGTGTTGCTAGAAGTGTATTTTTTGCCAATCCTAATTTATCGTTGCCAAAAATAAAGCTTTATCGACAAACAAATTGTCAGCAAATGGAAACATTTACTGATGTAAATGTACTTTTGTCGACACATTTTGTTGCTAAAAGTATATATTTTGCCCATGCAAATTTGCATCAGGAAAAGTGTCACACAATCATCATATTTGAATTACTTTTACCGACGCAATATAAATTGTCGACGATGGATGAAGGTTTTCACCGACGACTATGTTTGTCACTAAAGGCATTACTTTTACCAACGTAATGACAATTTCGTCAGCAAAAACATTTGCCGACTCACTTTTGCCTACAGGTTGCCGACGTAGCTTTGTGTGTCGACAAAACTTTTTGTCGACGAATTTTGCCTTTTAACAACATAGTTTGTTGCGTTGCAAAAAATGGAATTTCTTGTAGTGACATTGTAGCTCGACTTTTTCGTGCCCCCTTTCGGAGAGCTCGAATTGGTCCTACAGTTCAGACTCCTGTCACGGTTCTGAATCTAATCTCACAAAGTGCAATGTGAAACTGATAAACACTAAAGAGTCCAATCCAACAAATCTTTTTAGAAAATTGATTTTAAATCAAATAATGCAAAAATTGGACTAGTTTACTGGATTACAGAGTCGCCACCTAAATATTTTGTTTTTGAAAAATTTAGGAAACCCTGGCTCGTGCCAAAGGCCACGACTCTGTCATCACCAAAGTTGCCTCCGCTCGGGAACTTGGATACGAGAGGGGAAGGTCCTGAAATGAATACCCCCGCTCGCTCGAACAAAAATCAGTCGCTACTAATCATGATATGTTTGTTTTATAAACCTCATGTGTTCTTATTCCGGTTATTAGCTAACTTTACTATGTGACGCACACAAGCAAGTATAGACTAAAATTGCAAGAATTGGCATTTATGCAGTTTAGCTAACTTTACTATGTGACACATTCATGTTTGCTTTCGAAAAATGGTTTGAAGTTGCCACCCTCAGGTAGGCTAAAGCACGGATTTGCCACCAAACATGATAGGCTTAAAACATGATTTTCCACTTCGCAAAGTGGGCTTAAAACATACATTCATTGAATTGTTCCAATTCAAACAACAAAGCCTTTATCCACAGGCATTCATGCAGTTTAGAATTTAAGCACATAGCCCCATGGCAAGCATGCGAAACATGGCAATATGGAAATGACACTCATGCAAGCATGCTAAAGCGTAAAAGCTTACAAATTACTCGAAGCCAAAACAAAAGCTAGTTAGAAATAATGCATGATCCTAACTATGTTAAGATGCCTAATGCAACACATGCAATATGAAATTAATAGGCTCGGCTACTTATATGGCATATGATACAATTTGATAGCATGCTGTGAAACACGTCTTCAAATAAGTATATGAAATACGATGCAGTTTGAATGATACGCCGAGCCTCAGTGCATGCAAGGAAAATGAATGAATGCAAACATGCAAGCATAAGGTATGCCAATTGAAACATAATCCCTAATCTAACCATCGAAAGCGATTAAATAAAAGGAAGAAAGACGTATGATTGGAAGACAAACACACACACACGCACACTTATTACAACATCATGCCCTCGCGAAGGAGGGTCCGAATGAATAAAAGCTAAGCTAATCTAAGCTAAGCTAAGAAAACTAATTTAATTAAACTAATTAGACTAATTATTACAAGTCAAAATAAAGAAATAGCTAAACTAAGCTACTTAATTATTACAACACTTAACTAATTAGCAACTAGTTAATTAAATTACAATACAAATGTACACTAATTAAACATTTAGAGCATTGCTTTAGGAAATATAGGATGCGTGCACTCGGTTTTCGCCTCAAAAAAAGCCTTCCGATTTTCTCTTCAGAGGCTCTGTTTGCAGGGTTGACTACACTCCATAACCTTCTGCTTCAACTTACTAATTCAATGCTGAGGATTGCACCAGTGGCCTGCCGGCCATGAATGCTTGCTGCCGGCCATTTGCTGGCCAGAAATGTGCCTCACTGGCCAAGGGTGAGCCATTGCCGATCACTAATGAGGCACTGTCGGCCACTGGTGCTCTGAGTCACCACACTGCAACAGAGCACAAACAGAGAAAAAGTGAGGATTTTCCAAGGGTAAGCTTGTACTGTACCACTCCTTGTCATCTCAAAATAATCAAAAGAGTGGCACTCTTGGATCTAAAACCATCAATCAAGCATTTTCAATGCAAGATGGCCAAAGATCCAAGTTGTACACTTTCAATAAATGCATAAAAACAAGACTGTAGACCATTACCTTGTCATGGATGATCAAAGGCAATGGAGACTAAGGAGATTGGCTCATTTCATCACTTTGAGCATGAAATGCTCCAATCTACCTTGTGTTCAATATAAAGTCCGATTGAACACATACAATGCAACACAACATGCTTAACTTGTTAAAGTTTTACTTGTCATGTTTTATTTACTCATTTTCATTACTGATCCATTTTTTAACCAGTTTAGTCCAAGGCGAGAGTCGTCTAATGAGAGATATCTCAACCAAGGGATGACTTAAGGCAAGAGACAAATCATGCCTTTGGTTAGTAGAAACCCTCAAAAGAGGATTAAAACCACTGAGCACAAGCTCTATCTCAAGCTTAAACACAACCTTCAGGTTAATCGCCCTCAAAGAAAATGGAAAAGTGAAGAAATGAGGGAGGTTGCAGATATTTCAGTGCTGAAATAGCATCCAAAGTGATACTACAACATGTAAGCAACTGATGCAAATCATGTTTAAAAGCCAAAAACACCAAACTAGTGAAGAGCACTACACTACAGGCATGCAATACAAAGCTCAAAAGGTACAAACACTTCAAAACATTCCTAAAATAGCTTAAGAGGAGTCCTAAAACATGCTTGAAGTAAGCTAACGAGGCTAGAATGATAGGCCAACACATAGCACAAACTAGACTATTAAGCACAATTGCACTACAAGCATACAAAGCAAGCCTCAAGTGACCAAACTAGCTCAAAAAAGAGCTAAAACTAGTCAAAATAATAACAAAAACATGCTGAGATCAAGTCAAAAAAAGCTAGAAAAATATGGTCACATGTTAAGCTATCTACTCATGCAAACAAGACACAATGAGGGGAGGCTACCCCCTCCCATTTTGGACCTCAAAATAATTTTTACCACTAAAAATCCCCTGGAATTCAGTGGTTAAGAAAGCCAAAAAAGTTGTTTTAGAAAGCTTTGAAAGATGGCACAACAACTTAACAAGCAAGCTACAAGAAGGGTAGACCACCCCTAACTACAATCAAACCTCAAACCACCATTTTAGTCCATGAAAACAGAGATTTTCATAGGTTAAAACCAGCCTCAAAATAGCATGCAAAGATGGCCAAACAAGTATTTAAATTAGGCTTAAAATACAAGTGTTCTACCTCTTGAAGACAAGATGCTATTTAGGCAACAAAGGCAAGTCCAACCAAGCCAATATCCTCTTCTAGAACTCAAATAGGACCTCAAACAACCTCAACTCAATGGTGATCAAGTTTGATCAAGGGCTCACATGCAAGAGTGTAGAGAATTTAGGCTTTAAGGCATAGAATATCAAGAGAGAGGATTCTAGAAAGAGAGAGAGAGAAATTTTTTTGTCTTTAAAATGTCCAACCCTTCACATGCAAGAGGAAGGCTTCTATATATAGAAGGTACAAAATCCCCTCAAAGAGATCCAACCATACACGTGTAAGAAGATGGCTCAACCTGTGCA